AAGAGGTTGATAAGAGCAGAATTTGGATATGATTTTGCTACAGGAAACAAAGTTGAAAACTTGTGATAGTAGACTAGTGGAGAGACTATGGCTATCAGATAATTTTGATTGGGTGTTCTATCTTGTGGTAGGAAGATCTGGGGGGATGATGACAGTATGGGAAAAGGCTATTTTCAACAAAACCTCTATGGTGATTAAAGATAGGCTCTTGGTAATCATAGGAAGATGGATGTAGCATAAGCTGGATTGCATTATGGCAAATGCATTGCTCCATGTGCCTTAGAAGAAAAGAAAAGAATTTGGGATGATCTGTTGCAAGTCAAGGATAAGATAGGAGGAAATTGGTGTTTTGCAGGTGATTTCAACACAGTGAGGTTCCCGGATGAAAGGAGAGGATGTGTGATAAATGGAATTGGAATTGATAATTTTAATGACTTCATTCATACAGGTGAGCTGGTTGATTTGCCTCTATATGATAAAAGGTTCACATGGTACAGTCCTGGTATCTCACCCGAGTGGTTACTAGGTTTTGGGGATCTCTGCCATAGGGCTTTAAATAGATCTGTCTCTGACCATTGTTTTTATTGCTCTCTTCTGATAAAGTCGATTGGGGACCAAGACCTTTTAAGCTCCTAAATTGTTGGATGAACAATAAGGGGTTTGGAATGGAAGTAGCAGAAAAATGGAGATCCTATAAAGTTGAAGGCAAGTTCAGGATTTAAGCTGAAGATAAAATTGCAACAATTAAAAGGGCACCTCAAAAAGTGGAATAGAGAAGTGTTTGAAATGGTTGGTGACAGGATCACCATATTGGAAGAAAAGATAGAAAAAAAATGGATAAAGAGGGATATGGGAGGAAACTAATAGAGGAAGAGATAAAGATCAAGAAATAGACTATTCAGGAACTATAGGTTGCAATGAGAAATAAAGAATCCATTAGGAAACAAAATTCAAGAATCAAGTGGATCAAAAAGGGTGACAGAAACACTAATTCTTCCATAGCAAAGCGAACGCAAGGGCGAGAAGGAATTTCATCGGGGGATTGAACATAAATGGGGCCTAGACTCCTAAGCCGAGATTGGTGAAGGCAGTTGTTGAGGTTTACTTTAGGAAACAAATTAGTTGTGAATGGGGTAAACCACCAAAACTGGTGGATATGGGTCTTGGTAGATTGAGCCAAAAGGATAGTACCATGCTCGAAAGTCTGTTCACAATGGAAGAAGTTAAGGATGCGGTATGGGATTCGGATGGAACCAAATCACTAGGCTCGAGCAGATTTATTTTCAACTTCTTCAAAAGAAATTGGACACTGTTGAAAGAAGAGATATTGGAGTTTGTGCTGGAATTTTATGATTCTGGAAAACTAGAAAAAGGGTTGAATTCTTCTTTCATCTCCCTTATTCCTAAAGTTGATAGCCCAATGTCACTTAAAAAATATATGCCTATTAGTTTGATTGGATCTTTGTACAAATAATTGCAAAAATCCTAACTAATAGGCTAGAAATAGTAGTGGACAAGGTGATAAGTGATACACAAAGCGCCTTTATCAGGGAGAGGCAGATAATAACTGGGATACTATTGGCCAATGAGGTGATCCACAACATGAAGAGGAGACAGTGGTATAGAGGTGGAGTAATGGTGAAATTATACTTTGAGAAAGCATATGACTGTCTAGACTGGAATTTTCTAATTTCAGTAATGAGAATCATGGGTTTTGGGAGTAGATGGATTGGTTAGGTAAAAGAATGCATAACGACAGTTAGCCTATCAGTCTTAGTTCATGAGTCTTCAACCAATGAATTCCCAGCAAATGGAAGATTGTGACAAGGAGACCCCACGTCCCCTTTTCTAATTATTTTAGCTGTCAAAGTTCTACATAAATTGGTGGTAAAAGTAGAGGAGTTAAACTTGATAAAGGGGATAGTGGTGGCCGAATCAGGTTTCAGCATCTCGCACCTTCAATTTGTTGATGATACTATTATCTTCATAGAGAAATGGAGTGACTTTGGAAGGAATTTAAAAAGGACATTGAGGTGTTTTGAAGTGCTATCAAGTTTAAAAATTAATTTTCCAAAGTCTAAAGGTTATCTAGTGAACTTACAATGAAGAGGGCCAACAGATTGTTGATACACTGCGGTGTGGCAGAGGAGAAATACCTTTTAAGTACCTAGGGATACCAATTGGAGCAAACCTAAGAAGCATTCAGACGGGGAATCCGGTGATATGGAAAGTGAAAGATATATTAGCACTCTGGCAAAGAAAATATCTGTCTTTTGGGGTTAGAGTTACATTGGTCAATTCGGTGATCAATTCCCTTCCCCTTTATTACCTATCATATTCCAGACACCTAAAAATATCATAAAAAGCTTGAGCAATTGAAAAGGACATTTCTGTGGGGAGGTGGAGCCAAGAAAAGGAGCATAGCGAAGGTTAAATGGACTATCGTATGTCAACCAAAGAAATTAAGAGGATTGGGAATATCAGCATTATCAACAAAAATATTGCTCTGTTAGGTAAGTGGTGGTGGAGATATGGGGCGGAGAAGGAAGCTCCGTGGCGTAGAATAGTAGTAAAAAAATATGAAAGTGGATATCTTCACTGGCTGCCTTTTAAAGCTGATACCGAGAACATGTCCAATATGTGGAAGGATGTAGTCGGCTTCAACAAGTTTGAAGGAGTTTAGAGTTTGATTGGCTTAAAAAGATGTAGATGGATCATAAGAGATGGGTCAAGTGCCTTTTTCTGGCTAGATAAATTGGAAGGAGAAAAAGCTCTAAAAGTTCTATTCCCGATACTATTCTCTTTGGTATGGAGAAAGAATATACCATAGCAGAGGTTTTTTACAGTAGATCAAAGAAATGGACCATTCAATTTAGAAGAAATCTTTATGATTGGGAAAGGCAACTGTGGGCAACTCTGTTACGAAGGGTGGAATCAATAATACCAAGAGAAGGAAAGGACTGCCTAATATGGGAATCTGACAGAAAAGGCGACTTCTTAGTAAAGAAGTTTGCAAGCTGGCTAAATCCATAAAATTCTGAGCAGAAGCAGCAGGTACAATCACCACATTTTGGAAAAACAATACACCTCTTAACATTCATAATTTCATTTGGCTTGCTATTCAAAACGGTATACCTACAAAATTTTTCTTGAGAGCTCGAGGGGTGCCTTTAGAGTAGGGCCAAGTAATATGCTTATAGTGTCAAACCTGGGAAGAGGACCGTGTGCATGTCATGATATCATGCTATTTCTCATGGGTGGTATGGTGTAAGGTATTTAGTTGGTGGGGGTTAGAATGGGTTGCACCGAATAATGTTGAGGGATTGTTGTTGTTTGTATGAGAGCGTTTACTTGAGGTTGAGGGTACAAAGTAAACAGAAGTACTTGGCAGTGTGCAGTTCTACACTATGGGCGATCTGGTTACCGTGAAACAAATCAGTTTTTGATAACAAGAGATGGGATAAAGATGAAATAATCTTCTTGATTAAGTTAAGATCCTTGTTTTGGATAAAAGCGACAATAGAAGGGAGATTAATAAATGAATTAGAATGGTGGTTCTCTATGGACATCAGGGAGGGAGGAAACACAAGATCCTAGGAAGGGAATCCAATGGTTATGTCCAGCGTTGAATATTTTGAAATTCAATGTTGATGGTTCGACCAGAGGCAAACCAAGCCCATCTGGATGTGAAGGTGTCTTGAAGGACTCTAAAAGCGACAACAGAGGACTTTTTATGGTCTTTGAGGCATTCAAGATTCAAACATGGCAGGACCATTGGCTGTTAAAAAAGTAATGGAGATGTTTAAGAACTCATAGTGGTACAAGAAATAAGTTTTAATCATCGAGTCAGACTCTTTAAGGTGGCAGTATCTTGGATCTACAACAAAGGAAACAGATCATGGAAATTGTGGAGCATCTTGGAAGAGATTGATTGCTTGAAGGAAAATATTGGAATGGTGGATTTTGTGCACACGTATAGGGAAGTAAAGTCCCTTGCGGACGCATTAACAAGAATGGGGATCGACTCAAATGAGTTTTTCCATGCTTGGCTATAATCATTCTGTTAAAAATCTGGTTAACTTGCAAGGCCCAAGATGGGTTACTAGCTACTTTTGGCAATTATATCAAAGGTGTTCAAACTTTCAAGTCCCAATGCCTTTGCTAAAAGTTGAGTATCAGTTTCTTGGTCATGCCTTGATTACCTTTGGTAAACCAAATGCTGTTAGTTGATGTCTGAAAGAAAAAGATCGGCCATGGGAGATACTTTCAACCATTGATTCTCTAATTGGAGAGGTAGCGGTTTAGTAAAGGCTGGGATGGATCGATCTGACATGTTTTATAGCTTGGTGGTAATCGGTTTCTTGGTAAAGGATCTGTTTCTATAATTCTATTAAAGATTTGCTTTGATGCATCTACATAATATAGACATATATGCTATATTGGTGTTTTATATTGGTTGAGAGTACTGTTTTGATCAATTAATAAAAATCTGACTTAGCAAAAAAAAAAAAAAAAATTTACCGTCAAATAAATACTCATTAAGTTTGAATTATAAATAATATTTTTTACATATTATTAATTTTTCAGTCAACTTTATCAATTCATCAATTTTGATTTTTGATTTTAATTTTTATTAAATCATTTTGAATAAAAAACTCAAAACTTAACTTTGAAAAATTTTATGCAAGTCTTTTCCCTAAAAATTCAGTTACATTTGCATAGACAGATAGTGCATGTGTTTTCCCATGCACAAATTAAAAACCCAATTCGCTTCCCATTTTAAAAAGAAAAATGATTAATGATAGAGGTTCTTGTTGTTCCACAACTTAATTAAAAAGCCCATCAAAAAGGTAAACAGAACTCCAGAGTTAATTATTTCTCTAGGTCGTTGTTGTCCTTTTAAAAAACAAAGAAAAAGAAAAGAAAACCCAATTTGATCATGTCGTCATCTCCACTTGACCAGCGGCTTTACTTACATTTTTGGCAATTCATATTTGGAGTCAATTGTGTCCCCAAATGACATAAGCTTCCTCTCCATGAGCAGCTTCATCACCAATCTCCATATCCTCTTGAGACATCCTTAAAGGCACAAATAATTGCACAAAAAGACATATTATGCTTCTACTTAAAATGTTAACAATCACAACAAACAAAATCCCAAGCAACTGAACTGCTATCTGTCGAATTCCAGCAGCTGTTCTACCGTTTGTTAATCCATAAAATAGGCCAATGTACTGCCCAGAAAAACCATAGAACAAGCGGTTAAGCTTTGGTACAGCAAAGAAGCCGGCAAGTGTTCCTCCGAGGCTTCCGGCACTGGCATGAGTGTGTAGAATTGCCATTGTGTCGTCGACCTTTTGAAGAAGTTTGGATCTCGTGGACAACCATCATGGTGAACCATGGTATTGACGAGAACAAAGACCCATTAGTTTTGCTGCCCATCCTTGCACAACCCCTTCATCAATTTTTTTATGTTGTCAAACCAATTTGAAGGTAATACAGTAAGTAATGTGTTAAAGTGGTGATAAATATATACGTGTATATATATATATATATATATATATTATCACCATTTTAATACATTGATTCCCATGGAAAAACAAAACTAGAAAACTAGGTAAAGTAATAGGAACAAATTGACTTTGAAAGTTTATTATGCTTTTACATGGGTTTTCAGGTAGCATTTATTGGTTATGTAGAAAAATCGCTTTTAATTATTGATGAACAAATACATCTTTTCTTAAGCATCTGTTCTCAACTGTAAACTGTTAATATAATTTTTCAAAAATTAAATAGTTTATTTATATTTAAATTAAAATAATTAAATTATTTACCAAACATGTATAATCTAAGTGCCCATTTTTTATACCCCGTCTCTGTCCCATTTTATTAATTATCTTTGTTTGATTTTTTTAGTCAAGCAAACTTAACTTTTATCGTTTAAAATAGTATATTGAATTAAAATTTTAAAAAATAGTATATTTGACCCACTTAAGGCAATTACACACGATTAACTAAAGTGTTACCATTGGCGAACAAAAAACCAAAAGCCATTATAGACTGTGTCTCTTAATTTAGTGCAAAATCTAATCAAATCGGATATACATTTTAAAGCTACTTGCTCGGAGCATTTTTAGATTCAAAGTGTAAAATAGATTTTTTTCTTTTTAATATAAGTCAACTAACAAAAAAATGTACTTTAATCATTTGAGATAAATTGACGTGTCAGACTGACTTAAATTTATGAGTTCACGTTAATTCGATTATCTTAATAATTTACATATTAAATCCATCAGAATGATGATTTATCATAACCTGAGTGAACAATTAATTGTTAGCTTAACTCGAACCTATTAAATCAACTTTAGTAATCTTAGATAGCTTTTGATCTGAATTTATGAGCTCATATCAGCTCGGTTATCTCAACAATCTACATATTAGATCCATCAAGATGATGATTTATCATGACTTGAGTGAACAGTTAATTATTAGCTTAACTCGAACCTATTAAATCAACCTTAGTAATCTCGGGCAATTTAAACTACCCAAAATTCCCATTTCACAAGTATAAATAACACCACCTAAATATCTTTATCCATCTTGTTTCCATACATTTGCATAATATTTTCTTCCTTTTATCTCTCAAGACCGATTTTTGATTTGAACATCAAAGCACAAAAACTAAAACCATACCCAGCCTTTATTGTTAATCATTTTCTTTGGCTTCCATGTAATTTCAAGGTTTTATCCCTTTGGAGAGAGTTCTACACTAACACTACCAATAAAAGATAACAAACTTATATTACACAACATGTAAATGTACTTCATGTACATAAAATGGGGTCAGAGCTAAGTCCAATAATTAATGCCAGGTTAATGCAATGGCAAAGCCAATTAATGCTCCATCCTATAACTTAACATAATTAAATTGATGGAATGTGGAGTTACTCACCAGCAGCTGGGGTGATGCAGACCAAACCAGTGATCATGCCTTGAACTGCACCGATAACGGAAGGCTTTTTGAAGAATACAAAATCGAGTGTCAGCCAAGTAAGCATTCTAGTAACAGCACATATGTGAGTGTCTAAGACTGCCAACGAAGCATCAGTGCTGACTACATATGGATCTTCTCCATTAAACCCAGTCCAACCCATCCAGAGCAAACCTGCTCCAGCTAACATCAGAACGATGTTATTTGGAGGAAATCTCTGCCTGTCTTTGGTTAGACGAGGGCCAACCTGCAAAAAAATTACAATAATAGATCAACATAAATTAAGTTTCAGTCGTTTTGAACAAATTTTAGAGTGCTTCTAAATGCACCGTTCTTTTTGCTTTCCACATTTTATTGTTTTTTTTTTTTTGTAATTTTTTACAAATAAAATTATTTAATTACCCTTTTCATAAGTTATCGAATATTTTTTATAATTTTTTGGAAAGTAGTGAAATTTTAAAATTGAATATTTTTTATAACTTTTGGAAGTAGTGAAATTAAAAAAAAATTACAGAAAAGAGAATTTTATTAAAAATTTTTATAAATTAGTGTAATAAAAATGTTATTATTAAAAAAATTATAAATTTTAAAATTAATAAAAAATTAATTTTACTATTTTAATCTTAAAGAAAGAATAAAATCTTATAAGTTTATAATGAAAGCTAAAATTCTTTAAAGCTATACAAGTAATACTACTGAATACTATATAATTTTATCAAAATTCAATATACTAATCGAATAAATCCATCGTGATAAATAAATAAAGAGACTTTTCTAAGTAGTTCAGTTTAATTAGAGTTATTATAAAATTTTAATAATCAATAAAAAATATTTATTAAAAAATAACACATTTTAAATTTATAAAAAAATTACATTTACTATTTTATTTTTAATTTAATTAGGACCTTATAAGATTTTATTTTTTTTTATAAGATCAAAATAGTAAAATTAATATTTTTTATTAATTTTAAAATTTATGATTTTTCTAATAATACTTTTTTTTTGTTATCTTAATTCATAAAAAAAATTTAATAAAATTTGTTTTTTATAATTCTTCTTAAAATTTCACTCCCTCTACATACACAGATAGATTTTTGAAAAGTTTCATATTTCGAAAATCTGTTTTCAATAAGTTATATGATATTTTGAAAATGAATTTTCAAAAAATTATAAAATTTATCAAATATAAATATCTAAAAATTTGTGAGAACGATAATTTAATAACTTTATTTATAAAAAATTTTGGAAAAAAAATGGGGAGTCAAAAGAAAAAATGTTGGTGTATTTAGAAGCACTTTAAATTTATTGCCACTAAAAAGCTGTAATTTCCATATTGGTCATAAACTGATATTAGCATCCAATATTTCACTGGACAAGTGAAAAAAAATTAAAAGTTGACATTAGTTAAGATGATGAGTTGGTTCTTAGTTTTAGGCCCCATTTGGATTTAATTTTAGCACCATTGCAGTGCAATTTTTTTTCTTTTTGCTTTCATTCATTCCATAGCAATTGTTTGGGTAACAATAAATCAATGAGATTATAAATTTTAGATCGTTTTGAAGCAAAATTTTCAACTGAAACTAGTCCACCTGGACCTTAGTATCTCCAAAAGTAAATTAGTTAAAAGCAATAAATATTTTCAGGTCTATACTAAATTAAAAGGTTGTCATGTGCGATCAATCTATACTTAAGTAAATTAATATCCTGCATAAAAAAATAATTTTAATTTCAAAACCCAGTATAGTATGGTAATGGTTCCATACCCAGTATGCAGCCTTTAATCCTGCAACTCCAGAAGATAAATGGATGACATATCCACCGGAATAATCGATCAGTCCCATCTTTGTAAGAAATCCACTAGGAGACCATATACTAAAAGCCGTAACAGTATAAGAAAAGGTTAGCCCTAGTGGAACAAATAGCATCCAAGCATAAAATTTCCTTCGTCCCAACAAAGTTCCAGCTATCAGAATCAATGTGATAGCAGCAAAAACACCTTGGAAATACACCATCGCTGCGTTGGGGAATTTCCCTAAAAAAGGCTTTCTCAATCAGAAACTTTCCATCCAATGCAACATTGGCTTTTCCCCAGAACGGAATCAGCTCCTCCCCAAACGACATTCGGTAGCCCCAACCCACCCAACAGACAACAACGCAGGCATAAGCATAGAACACCATGAAAGATGAATTCACAGCCCATTTCTTCTTCACCGAGCCACTGTACAGGATAAGAATTCCTGGAATGCTGTGGAAACTGACAAGGATAGCTGCTGTGAGTTGCCATGCATTGTCTCCTTTGTTCATCCAATATGGGCTGGCCTCATCTGGAATCAGATTAACAGGAAGAGGAAACAGGGTTCTAGTCATTTTTTCCAACTTTTTGTCTCCCTGCAAACTTACCTGACAATGCAAAGAATCATCATTTTTCTGGGATTTAATAACTAGGAAATTAATCAGTTTGATTATGTCGATTTCCATCAGCTGTCAATACGATAGCATCTCTATTGTCAATTTGTCATTAATTATTATAATGTTTTTAACTTCTCTTCCCAGTTTTAAAGTTAAATGTGTTGTTCATATTCTATGGTTCTTATCGAGTTATCCAAACAACTATAACGATACTTTCAATGTAAATATGGTTGGTCGTTATCGATCTAATTTTGCTATGGTTAAACTGTCTGCTATTTCAATAATGACATAGATCTATCAAAAGGTTAATGAACTTTTTGTTTATGCTGTCTATACTTAAAAATGAAACAACAAAACATTTGGAGGATTTTTTTAGTTGGTCTGCCCAGTAGAGAATGAGGATGCTAATGAACTAGAACATGGTCAGATCATATGCATACAAGCATCGTTTACAAGAACCTATGCATGTTACTTTTAGGCACTGTTTAATACATCTTGGCGTTATTATTATTTATATCTTTTATGCGGTTTATTCAGTTGGATTTGGAGACGTAATTCTAATGACAGAAACAATTGAATTCAGGCAGAATTAATGATTTTATTGATGTTGTAGTTAGGCCGACAAGATTGCTGATTATTTTTGGTTTGTGTGAGTTTATTTTATATAAAAAAAAATTAAAACTTTAGCTGAGTTTAAAGAGTTTAAAAAAATTAGAAAGTGAAGGATAGATATTCAGTGCCTTCACGAAGAGTCAAAGACAATGGAAGAGATTCTATCTTCCAAGAATTTTATGATTATTTATGAAAATGCTTGTTGCGTAGGCAAAATAATTATCTGATTTTCTTGAAACATAACTTTACTTCCAAACAATATATAAAAGAATAAAAGTTTATAATTATTTTTAATAAAATTAAAAAGGTTTGTCCGGATCAGAGCTTTGTTATTAGAGTTACCAAGTTTTTTTTATACATGTAGCTGAAAACGTATATTGTTTGGTTTTTAGTAAACATCAATATAAATTTGGTCAAACAAATTAAATAATTAGTAGATCAAGAAAATAAATAAGAATAAAAAAATTAGATATCTAAAAGCTTATAAATACAAAATATTTTGCAATTCAAAAGTCAAGCAATATACAAACAAATCAATGATAAGTCAGCTAATGAAAATGACATTGCATAGGATAAGCTTACTCCTAAATCCATGAAATTTTAATATTTTTTCCTTTAAATTTGTATGCTAAATTAGTAAATCTTGACTTAAATCCAAATTTCTACAAAAGAAAAAAAAGATTAGTGCACGATCCATTCAAAGGGAGTGAAATAGCAATTGTAGAATACAACGCATATTCTTTTTTTTTTGGTGTTACATCATTTTAGGGGTAGTTAACCCTCTTCGAATCTCTGAAGTGAGATAGTTGGAATACATTTCTTTTTCTTTTGGAAAGAAACATCAGTATTTTTGAAATGCAAAACACATCATTTTCATTTTCTCGTATGCATGTTCACCTGGAATGCAAGAACAATGACCAGTGACCTGCAAACAATGTTGGGGCTTTCTGCCAATAAGGCATACTTCTATGAGGCTTATGAAGGCTTCAGGACAGCTGAAATACTTCTATGACCTGCAAACTGTGAAGGATGCTTTATCTTGTGCCATTTTGTATGTCTAAAATGAAATATCCACTCAGCCATGATATTTATCTCATCAAGATGCAGGTATCAAACCCTCGGGGCCATGCATTCTGATTTTTTTTTCTTTTTTTCTTTTTTAAGGATTAGTAAATGCTAATAGTTGCAACCTTGGTTCAACTTGTGTACCACATTCCAACTAGTAGATGTTACATGAGTTGCGTTCCTTTTCTTCTGAAATTATTTGAAGTCAGCATTCATGTTTATTTGTCTACATATATTTTCCCTGGTCTCGGAACGTACCTTCTATCCCCACGTACCTCTTCTCTCTCCTTGTTCTGACATTCTATATAGTGTCCTGTGAAAATTAATTTCAACCAGGAGTGAGAGTTTAAGATAAACAATCGTTGGAGTAAAGCTTGATTTTCAGCTGTTTGGTAGTTATTTGGTAGTTAGCGAATACAGTGATGCTTAAGAACTTTGGAATGCTTAATAGCTGTAATTAGGATGAAATATGCTAATACTAATACACCTCCGTCGTACCCTGAAATTACTGAAAAACCTTGGGTGCTAATTTGATGTCTAAATAAAAACCAGTGAGTATGAGAAGACTATACATGGCACTGATAAGCTGGCCTCTGACCTAAGAATTGCAAACAAGCATTAAATTAAGTCCAAGTTTTTGGATGATTGCAAATGTTTCAGTGGATGGTTAGGCATGCAATTTATTGGAAGGAGTGCAAAAATGATAACCCTTCTCTAATTATTCATTTAATTTATCTTTTCACCTTAACTTTATGATAGAGTTGGAGAAAATTAGGTGATCCTACCAGTATTTTTTGCTTAGTTTTAATGCTTAAATTCGACCTTGGTAGAATTGACTGTGTGTGAACTGCACCATAGGTTGAAAATTATAAGTGGTAAATCCTGTTACAACTGTGCTATATATGGTAAGTGTGTTTATTTTAGGATTTAACGACAGTTTGTCTCACTGAATTATATATGTTGAGAGAGAGGAATCAAACAATTAATTTTTGTTTTTCTAAGTCAAATAGATTTTATTCATATTGTAATGTCTTTGATACATTCAGACTCTAATATTCTCACCCAAAACAGACACAACTGGTACCTCAACAGAACATCACATATAATAAAACAAATTCCAAAACCAATAGCATCCAAAAGAAAAACCATTTTGTCAATACCACCTCAGTTTGATTCACCCCTTAACTTCCAAAGAATATTGACCATCTTAGCATCATTCATCTCTCTCATTAACGTATCAATTCTAAAATATGTCCCAAAATCTCCTATGTCTGGATTCCATCTTTTACACCAATATACCACAACTTTTCCTAAGTCAGGATTTATTTATGAGTCAAAGGTTATAGCAAAGGTCAACACCATACAGTGAGTCTCAATCAACAAGGAAACAAAGAGGAAATGCAGAGCTTGGTCATAGCCAAACTAGATCAAAAACACACTTGCAAAACAAGGAGTGTTTACCATTGAGCCTGAAACATCTCACCTCTATTAACTCCTGCTTTAGCTAAAACTTCCAGAATCAATTTTATGAAATTCCACGGAGCACTCCACCATATCATCCCTCAAAGCTCCCCCAATATTATTTCAAACCACCAGCTTCATGCTTTAGACAAAATTTGAATTCCAAGTTAGTTAGCACTTGCTTCTCCCACCAATCAGCAGTAACATGTTTGTTGAATCAACTGAATAGCAATGCACTAATAGCTTTATGTTCCGAGATCCAAACACCATTATCAACACACCCTAGGATGGAATTTCTCTTTTCTCTAACTCTGACATTATGATAGAATTTAGAAATTTTTAGCCCCCTCATTCAGTCACAAAACTCAGCTTCTGTTTCCAAATCCAACCCCTAATTATAAAAACACTCCATACTTCCAGATTAATAAAATACTTATTCTTTTCAAACTCATCCATACTTACATCCCTCTGACAACTAATCCCATCCAAATTTTCACTGTCTTTAAACATTGCTATCTCCTTATAGAAATTGGAAACACATCTATATTCCATTTTTTAATCTCTTTAACAAGCTTAATAGAACCTTGCCAACCCTTCTATACTCGAACATTGAACCCAATTGGCCTCAATATCTTTAATAAGATCTTTATTCAATAACCAACAATCCAAACCTTCAACCATTCAATAAAACTATAGTCCTAACTAGCTCATTTATCTTATTCTCGCTACCAAACCAAACCAAGTGAACTACTTACCACACAGAGGGAAATACACAAATTCAATTCTACACATGAAACTTTTAAAATCCCAAACTCTCGAGCCACCATGACAACACCCCTTTCTTTTTGCAAGATACATCCAATAATCTCCTCTACCAAAAAACTCATCGGAAAACAGTTTCAGAAAAAGGAAAAGGAAAGTCAATACCTGCGGAACCAGATTTGCCGCCAATCCCTAGCCTCCATTTCCTTTAAAGTACTAATCACAATATCACTTTCATAGCTTGTCTGCGTGCCTAACATTTACCCAATTCTTCATGTTGATTCAGCCTCCTACGTATCCAAAAGTCTTTACAAAGCTGACTCTGTTCTAAATCATTACCATACCTCCAGAATTACCAACAGCACCATTCTGAAGACACTAATAATTCCCGCTCGGCCCGATTCTTTGAATCATAAAATCCATAAGTTCTTCCAGATTAGTCTTTTGAAGTAGCAACATTTCGATCTTTTGCACATTCGCTAAAGAGTTCAGCACTTCCTTTTTGTCAAACTTCCCAATCCTTTGATGTTTTAGGATAGGATTCTCATTCTCAAAATAAAATAAATAAAAAGGACACGTATCCAAGGAGGCAAAACCCAACAGACGAAACAAACATTCATCCAAGATTAAAATTAAGCGTTGATTGCATAACCTGCGAAATCAGATTACCTCCTATCCGACAACTCCATTTCCTTCAAGGTTTTGCTTACAATATCATCTCCGCAGCTCGCTTTCATGCCCAGCAATTTCCCAATCTTCCATGTTGAGACAGCATCCTCCTCGCGCAATATCCTCCTTCGGTTTTGGAAGTCACCATCAGACAACGAGTCATTTGCTATAATACTATCTTTTGTTTTCAGCTTCAAATCCCTTTGATCCTTCCTCGACTTCCTCCCCTTCTTCTCTCTGGTACCAGATAACTTTGTGCAGAGATCCTCTTCAATCTCCAAGATGCTCCTAGCTCTTCTACCTTTGCGTTTCTTATTTGTTTCATGCCTTGAATTGCAATCACCTTCATCTGAGAAGTTTTCTGCGTAAAAGGGCTCCTCTAGATCCTCATCCAGCCTATTGTAGCCAGGTCCCTCTTCATCTGGGCCACTATTAGCAACGATGTTTGGGTTGCAGTCAACTTAACCGGTACAACCCATCTCAGCACTGGATTTGACCACCTTTTGGGGTTTTTCAGCGCTATTGGGCTTTTCGAAAGTGCCCAAAACTTCCCAAATCCCTCTCACTGTACTCAATTCTCGTCACCCCACCCGCTGAATTTTCAAAACCCAGTCTGACATGGCACGCTCCTTTGATCCCGTGCATGTCAAATGTTCCACCTCACGCATTCAGTTGTTTAAAAATTCAGTATTATAATTTTAAAATATACCAATAACCTATGTTTTTCATGTGTAACATGCATTATTACTCCAATATTTACTTGTGTATCTATAAATGCTAGGCCTATACAAGAGAGTGAAATAATAAATCATATAATTTGAAAAAGGTTAAAGGAAATATATATATATATATAATTATGGTGAAAACATTAATAGAAAAAATGAAAATAACTCGTTGATATAGTCATTTAGAAAATAGAAGAAAATTAGACACAAAAAATTTAAACGATGCAAATCAAATTTTATTTTGAAAAAAAATATATTAATATATTTTTATTAGTATATAAATTTTTATTTTTATTTTTATAATTACTCCTGATTGAATTGGTGTTGTTGGACTATAGATACTAAATTCAGTGAGGATTTCTTAATAATATATATTGTCAAACTATACATTTGTAATCTAAAAAGAATTATAATTCTAGCACAAATTTATCAATTAACCTTTGCAATTGAAATTTTATTTGCATAAAATTGAATTGAAATTTCCATGCCTTTTTTTTTAATTTATTTTTTAAAGAATAATATAAAATTTTGTGGTTTCCAAAAACAATAAAAAAATGTCTTTCACTTGGAATAGAAATTCCAAACTATATCAAATTAGTAGTAATAATTTAATAATTTATTTTCCCTCACCGTCACAGACCTAACAAAATTGGCGGCTATAAATACCTCACCTCTGTGCTTTATACGCGCAAGAATCAAAAGTTTTCTCCTCAAAATCCCAATCAAAATCCCATTCTCTAACCCTTCTCTTTAGTGCTCACAATGTCAACGGCCACAGTCAAGGCGAAGAAAATAACCCTTCGAACCGCCGATAATCACGAATTCGAAGTGGATGAAGCCATAGCTATGGAGTTGGGTGCAATCAAGACGTTCTTCGAAGATAACCCTGACGCGTCCGAAGAACCCATGCCGCTGCCAAACGTCACATCCAAATGCCTCTCAACCATCATCGAATACTGCAAATCTCATTTGGCGTTCCGTGCGCGCGGCGGCTCCTCATCGGTAGAGGACGAAGCCAAGGCCTACGATGAAGAGTTTATCAAGGCCCAAGACAATGAGTCGCTGAAGGAGATGATTTTGGCCGCTAACTATCTGAATATAAAGGATATGCTTGATATGCTGAATCAAGCCGTGGCTGACAGGATTAAAAATAAGAGTGTGGAGTATGTAAGGAAGTTTTTTGGAATCGAGAACGATTATACGCCGGAGGAAGAGGCTGCGGTTAGGGCGCAGAATGAATGGGCGTTCCAAGGTGTCGATCCTGACCACGATTGAATGATTTTGATGATCGGGTTAGGGTTTTACAAGGTTTATGTTAGGAGTAAATTTTTTTTTTCAATTTTTATAAGATTTCCGGTTGTTTAGGATCTAAAACATAACTAAGATGGATTAGATGACTTGAATAAGGGCTATCATGTTGATATGTTAATGCCATGTCTCTAAACGATCTTTTTCTTGTTACAAATTGTAGAATTGGATGAGGCACAGCAGCCTCCAATCTCACCTCTTCTACATATTTCTGTGTTTGTCTGTGTATATATTCTCTTCATGAATGAAATTATCGTCTCATTAACGCGTAAATTTACAAATTTAAGAATCCTTGAAAATAGATATCCAAGCTTAGATGATCGTCATAAAAATTTATGGTAATTATTATTAAAAACTTTAAAATTCAAGGAATACCCTAAAAGAAGAGGATTAAAACGCATAAAATAACTTTGGTTGTCTTCAGGAAAGTACCAACTCTTATCGGTTACAACTTACAAATGCCATCTAAAGCTCTTTTGGAGCTATACTCAAAGCATACTAATAATATAATGGCCAGGATCCTTTCAAGCAAAAATGCTTGGAAGAAGCACACACAGCTAAAAAAAAATCATAAACCAAACAGCAAACCCAATGCATTACATGTTAAAGCTGCCATTGATTGAAAATGGCATCATCCACTTTCAATGTTACAGCTTGTGCCTAACCTACCACTACGACCTAACAACAGATAAAGCAGTGCTAGATTTAATTTCTGACTAACAGAAATTTCACTAAAACAAACCAATTACAATGAACTGGCGCTCGTCCATTCTGATCAAGAATCACTTTGCTGTTGTTGAGACTGCTGCTGCTGCTGCTGCGGCTGACCCTGGGGCCATGGCATGAAAGCCATCGGTGGTCGAGGCTGCTGGCCGGGATACAATGCAGCTTGATCAACTGGCTTACCCATTATCATCCCTGTGGGCCCTACAGGATGCTGTGGAACATAGTAATATGGAATATCAGCAGGTGAACCAACTAAAGGAATAGTGGCCTTGGTGACCCCAAGTCCCTCCTCTTTCAACTCATCCCTTGGAATAATATCAACCAAGAAATCAAAGACGTCAGTCCTAGAAATGGCAGCTGCAATATCATTCTTCTGTAGAGTCCTCCTTTTGTTCTCTTCTGTATGGATCCAAGAGCGTAAAGTCAGTTCCAAGATGAACATTTCACAAGCTTTTGCAAAAATAACAGGAGCCTCTGCCGATATCATCCGCACATCTTCATCCGCTTTCATTATCTTTTTTATCCGTGCAAGTGGGAGACTGTGATTTTTGAAGTCTGCTGTTTGCTCAATTTCATGCATTTGGTTGGCCCAGAACATTTGAAGCTGCTGTTGTTGTTGCTGCTGCTGTTGGTGGTGGAAATGCTGAGCTTGTTGGTAGGCAAGTTGGTGTGGAGAATTAGAGAAAGTAGCCGGAGGCTGAGTTGGTGAAGGGACCACGACTGCTGGAGAGCCAGCAGCGACCAGGGGAGCAGTTTGATAAGGGCCAGTAGAATAGCCCATCTGGCCTGCACCAGGTACAACTCCCATCACAGGCTGTTGTTGATGCTGTTTCTGCTGCTGCTGTTGTGTTTGTTCTGATTGATCCATGGTAATTTTCCAGAAGCTCCTTTTGCCCTTGTTCTATCTTCTCATTACCGCTCTGTTACAAATAAAGATAAAACAGTATGCATCAAGCAGATAAAAGCATAATGTTGCTAACATATATGTGTCAAACCACAATTTTCAAGATTCTATACAAGTAAATAACTTGGGTGAAGAACAGCACAAATTGTATCCCCTTTATGGTTTTACCACTCCCATGACAAGAAGCATTGCTTCTTGATTATACCCAAAGCCATTATGAAGAAATGAAGAAAACAAGACTAAATCTCACGTTAACACATCATAAAAAGATGAAACCAATTCTACTCTGATTGTCATAGGTTTAAATAATGAGGAGCACTTCTAAAAGAAGAGAAAAAAATAGACACAAGGAACATATTGTCCTCACTTTTTGAACACCCAATAATAAAAACTAAATCTCTGGCAATCAGTACATGTAGATGGACATCCATCACAAAATAGACATACTGACTCACTGCAAATACATAAATTAACGTTTCCATTGTTATATTCCTATCTTTCAAGCCTCGGTCATCAAAATAATTTAAACTTTGGATGGCCAGGAACAGTGGCAGAGCCACATTGAAACCAGAGGGGGCTATGCCCCCCCGCCCCCAAAGATTTTTTAAGCCTCCTAATACATATTGATATAATGCATATAATTTATAAGTGCTTCTTTTAAAAATTAAATACGGCTATTTTAAAAATATAAAAAATTGTTCTTTGTGATTATAAATGTTTAAAACTTTGAGATTTTAGGTTCAAGTTTCATTGTATATAGATTTGTTTCAATTTTATGCTGGATTTGTTTAGTTATGCTCTAATTTATTGATTAGTTTATTTGTTTGATTATTCAATTATATAATACTTAATTATAATTCTAATTTGTAGTTGAAATTTCCCAAAAAAAAAAACTTTTTAAGAAAAAAAAAAACTTTTTAATACAAAAAAATTTTCAATTCTCAAATTCCAACTAATTTGTAAGAAGTATTAATATTATATTTTGGTTCTCATAAAAAAATTAAAAAATAAATGTATTTGTTAAATAGTTATACTTTTTTTGTTTCAGTATTTCAAATTTTTATCCATCTTATTTATGGTTACATTATGGAATGTCTTATTTACTTAAAATTTTTATAACTTTTGATAAAATAATAACATGTTATATGCTAAGAGAAAATTTTCAAATTACAACTATTATTTAGTTTGGCCCGTTCTAACTTCAAATCCTAGATCTGCCACTGGCCAGGAACTACAGAACAGGAGTAACTTAAAACATATTAAGTTGAAATTCAACAATATCTCTGTTTAACCAAGAAGGAACTCCACTTCCTCCTCCCCTCAACCTTGCAGAGCCTTTTTCTTATATCCAGTTCAGCTTTGACACACATAATTAGGTATAAAAAACGAACAAGGTAGATTATTTAGCTAACTAATTCACAATCACAAGTGTTTCAACTGTAACCTTAAGAGAAAAAGGCAAAACATATATAGTGTTGCCGAATGTTATTTTTCCACTAGCAAGTGACAATTAGATCCAAGCACTATTGTGACTTTAGCTCTAATACGATATAGCTAAAAGCAACAGGAATTTATCAGAACCTTATGATAATAAGCTGTCTCTCACCACCCTAGAATAAGACAATTTGTAAGCCATCAAACAGGTTTCTCTTTAACATATGTCACTAGTTTGAACTGAAACTTTTTTTTCTCTGATTCTTTCTAACATTTTACATTGATTATTCAACTAATTATTCACAACCACAGACCTACGTAGTAAAAGTTATATGGAAGAAACAAAATTTTTAGAGTGCTGATCATGTGATTCAACTAGTTGTTGACAATTATATTCAATGCAATCTCCTAGTGTTAGCTCTAGCTAGGAGCAGACAAGAGATAGTTAGAACCTTATGATAAATAAAGCTTTCTATTTAGATGTCTAGAAGTACACATTCATAACAGCAACAAAATGCCATCTTACAGCTAATTCCTTTTTTGACAAGTTGAATTCACCACAAAAAAAAAGCCTAAAACCCACTAAGAAAGTAATTTTGAATAAATTGTTAACAAAATCCATAAAAAATTAGTTCAATAATTTTACACATGAGCCTTATGAAAGCAACTAGAATTCAGGCCTATCCAACATAATTTTTGTATAAACTGCTCTCCTTCTATTCATGCTAGATAAGATCATCTATTTGTATCCTTGAATGCATGTGAGCATATCTAAAGTGGAAAATTCAAATACATTTTCAATTTGAGGAATCGAACCCGTTGCATTCAACAGCTGAAGAATTTGTTATAGCTACACTTGGAATATATATAATATAATATATAATCTATCCCTTTTTTCCTGTGTTTCTTTGCCCCTCCCTCCTTTACCTTTTCAGAGGGCAAACAACAAAGAAAGACAGCAATTAAGATAAGATTAACTGATTTTGGAATTCAATTTGACTATAAAAAATTGATTCCAATACTTATTAAAAATGGAAAATAAAATATAGCAGACAATCAACCACTTGAAAGTCAATTGTTCTTTTCAACCATACACAAATAATTGATGGTTAAATTACATTATTAAGATCCTGATTCCTCTCCTTTTAATTACGCTTAAATACAAATTATTCATCTAACCTTAAAGTAGAATACTATTAAACCCAAATCCTACACTTCTAAAACTACCACTTGTAATTGACATGCATGATTGGTCCAATGACAACCAAGTAATTACAATTTTAATTTATAGCAGAGAAATTAAACAAATTATAAAAGCCCAAAACTTTAATTTTTTTTATGCCTAAATAACATTGAATTTTTATGAAAGAAAACCATGCATGCAATGGAAAGGGAGTAACTTCTAACCCATTTTGTTCAAACAATAACCCTAACTGCTCTGCTTGCTTCCTAACATTAACTAGGAACTGATAACAAACTTCCTTTTTTATGAAAAAAGAAACAGTTTCTAGAACAATAATTACTGAAATTTTGAATTTTTTCTTTTATTATTTTAGCTTAAGATTAGTGGTCACAAACCCAAATAAATACAAAAGTTAAACCCCCAAAAAAACAGAAAACAAAAAAGATAATCCTTTTATTCTACTTGGTTCTTTCTCACCAACCAAACAACAGATAGTAACCCCGAAAGAACAAAAAAAAAAAAAAAAAAACCCAAAAAATAAAAAATTATATAAAATTTTACCTATAATTTCTCTTCCTCTTGCAGCTGAATCTTCTCAGAAACCAAAAGAATAAAAAAACTAGAGAGAGAAAGTAACAGAGAAAGTGAGTTAGAAGGGAGGGACTGATATTGCTTCTGGGATGTAAATAAAACAAAGGAAAGAAAAAGGAAAGTCCTTGAATTTGAAAGAAAGAAAGAAAGACTTATGGGGTATATTATAGAAGGACACGTGTCGATCAGTGAGAATCCTGACCCTGGACAGAGTTTTTCATTCCGCGTGGCTAATATCAACTGGACGAAAGGTCAGAGAACCACGTATACTACCGGTGACGTACCAGAGAAATGTCTGCGAATTTTGGTGGAGGGCTGTTTTGGTGAAAAAGAGTCAAATCGAAGGGTATTACAGGATATTTAAATTAAAAAGTATGTGTAGCACGTGGAAAGCGCGTGTGCGTGTCAGTAACATATTGAGGTCACGTCAGGACT